GCTGCTAGGGCGTAACACTATATTGGAACATATAATGGGCAATATGGTTCCCCGACGTAAATTCCATCCCGGTTTGCACGTTCTTTCTTTAATACGAAATAATCAAGTATGGAACATATGTAATAATAACAGAACCCCACACCCTCCCCGTGGCTTTCGTTGCGTATGGAAGTTATTTTCACTCGTGTTGTCAAATTGTCAGAGTTTGAATACATGGTTTCATCAACCATACTTTACAATTTTCATTTATAATTTTAAACAAATTCAGCAATCATTTTTAGAAGATATGACCCGGTCTCATACATCAGTAAAATCAGCATTAGAAGTTAATATTTGCTGAAGTCAAGTAAACAGGTTCTATTCAGGTGTTAAAACCCTCACAAATAATATGATTATATTTACACACATCTCACATTAAATCATCTTCTAAAATCAAGACAGACAAGACAGAAAAACAAGTACCATATATGTTTTTGATATAATAATACGGTTTTATTGCATCTTTAGAAACAACATTTTTATCAGTGTACAGCAATAAAGTGTGATATAAAATATGAAAACTTTAAATGAAAAACGGTCCTACCGGTAATAGAAAAATGTGAAGTATTCTCCAATCTGTGTGACTAAGTTGTCTTCAGTTGTACTTATTACTAAGGTAAATTAATTAATCTCTGTTCTTTTGTTTTTTTTACTCTTTGTCATTTTTTTCTGTATTTTGTAAATACCATAAAGAAATGTTGTTCATTTTCAATCTTTATTTGTGCACAATATTCACATGTTCTCATTTCTAGAAATGTTTTGGATATGTCACCCTTTCTTTATTTTTAACTTATTCTAAAACGTGTCATTGTGTTTCTTTCTTTCTTTTAAATTGAGTATAGATAAATAACGCTTAAAAGTGTACAACTCTTTGAATTTGGCAAATGTTTGCTATTTTCTTTTTTCATGTTTAATCTCCAGAATTCAACGTATTTCTTTTTAATATTGTGGGAGATGGATTTCAATTCTCTATCCAATTTTAAATCTGTGTCCAGTGACAAATGTGTATCATTTTCTCCTATAATTTTTTCAACTGCCTTGACCCATGATAAATTGAAATCATCTTGTTCATAAAATGCCTGTTTTGTATTTTCTGGAATGTTTTTTAGTCAAAACCAATATTTTACAAAAGCTTCTTTAATATCCACCTATAATGGGTAATTGCTGAGTTCTGATCTGCAAGCTGGATTTGGAGAAACATTTATTTACCCCTAATAATTTTTTACAGAATTTGAATTTGAATGTTCAACTGGTGTTTCATCCTATTTCATGTTGTCAATATTATCAACATATATATAATAATAACAATGATGATTATGTTTTATTACACCCTAATGAAATTACAAATTCATTTTTGGCTGAAAGTAAAAAAGGAAAAGTAGCAAGTAAAAAACAGAACATTAAAATAACATAAGATCAGGTAGTAAGTTTTCCTTAGTAAATTCAGAGTACATAATATCCCTTTCATCAGTGTAGTAGCTACAGTCTGTAATGAAATGAACTACATCTTCAATACATGTCTGCCTACTTCTGTTTGACATGTTTTGACATAATTGTTTCAATTCTATAATTTGCATTATTTTGAGTCGTTATAATAAGGCATCAGGACATATTCGTTCAATCCCATGGACGTTCATGTATTGACATCAGTAGCCACCCACACAAAAGCTCGCTGAGCCCTGTGGTAAAATGCTGTCCCCGTGTGTATGGGTGTGTAAATATTATTTTGCGTTTCTCCGTATAGATAACTGTCAATGTACTACCATATGGTTACCGTTGTGGATGTACTAAACGATTCATGACGTTCCTTTTAGCTGTACTCAAGATATAATAATGTATATATGGTGATTGTTAAATGTAAAGACATCAATTTATTAAAAATTGTACTAGATTGTTAATTTTCCTACCTATAAGGGTTGCTATCAACCACTTCCGCACTCATCTTGGCTATCTTCACGCGATGGGCGCCAGCGGACTTATTCGACTTCTCCTCTGCTAACTCCTTTTCTAACTCTTCGATCCTTGCTTTGAGCTCTTCGACTGTTGACATGGTTACTAAGACAATATTTTAAATTAAGTATTCCAAGTTGATGGGCGAATAAAATATCAAATTATTGACGAACGTTCAACGTAAACGTGGAATAATGCAGACGTATGTTCGTTTGTTTGTTGTTTCATTAGTAGTGTTAAAATTAATGAACACTGGAGGGCGCTAACAACAAAGATTGATAGATCAGATATTTCTACCATTAGTTCTAAATTGAACATTATATAAACATAAAGTACAGAATTCATGGCGAGAAATATAATAAATGGATCAATATCAACATTTTTATTTGGTGTTTGGAAAATTTGGGTTTGTCAAAATTAATGGTTAATTGGTCAATGGTGTTAAGGGCTTTTCTAAAATTACTAAATATACCCTCCTTGCCAGTTTAAATGAAATATTTATTTCCATGGGTGAAAAATATCTGAAGCAGAATCCATACCCCGTCTAAAAGATAAATATATATGTATCCAGTTAGCATAGCAGTTAAATGCGAGTCAGTTGACAAGTAAACAATAGGCATACACAGGAACTTGATACTCAACTAGTTTGTCTGTAAGGGGACCCATAGAGTGGTCCAATGTAACCAAAGTTGTTAACGAGCGTATAACACCAAGTTTTGGCAGAGTAGATTTATAGACATGCAGAAACACAGACAAATACAGACTGAAAATCGGAGAAGTGAATTTCAAATGTACAGCACTCAAGCCATCGAGAACAGGTTAATAACGTCGAAGTGAAATCTTGTTTGCCGTAATCAAATCATGATGAAGTTTGTGTTGACAGCTATTAGCTTTGTAATTAAGATTGATGCATACATGGGTTATTCGACGACGGACAATATATTCATATTGCAATTTATAGTCATAAATATACTCTGCCAAAATGTAATATTTTGCTATACCAGCGTAAGAAATCACAGCTAAACTAAACCTTTGTTTACACAGTTTGGCGGTAATGCCTTCAGGTATAGTCTGCACCGGAGTATCATTTACTGTTGTAGTTGGTACTGGTATGACATGTTTAGGTATAGTCTGCACTGGAGTATCATTTACTGTTGTAGTTGGTACTGGTATGACATGTTTAGGTATAGTCTGCACTGGAGTATCATTTACTGTTGTAGTTGGTACTGGTATGACATGTTCAGATATAGTCAGTACTGATATAATGCATACTGATGAAGTCTATACCGCGGTAGCACATGACTAGTATGTATTTTCTGTATTGGTGTTACCTTGTTCATTCATCGCTACAATTATAATAATAACTTTATTGACATTATTCATTTTGAGTAGAACATAGTCAAATCTACAACTAAATTACAATTCATAAACAGTTTAACAAAAGGGCTTGGAAAAAACATGGAATTGAGAATTTGATCACATTACCAAATTTTGCTGACTTACAAGGGTTTCTGCTCGATTTGTTTTTGTGCTTGTTCTTAACCAAAATTTCATTAACATTTTTTTAATAAATATTGACAGTGGGTATCTACCTAATTCTCCTCTTACTGCTAGATTTGTGGAGGATTGGTTTACCTGTAATAATATCTTGCATAATTTTAGATTTCATTTTTCCACTGGTGTTTTGTCAGTGTATTTTTCAATTCTCCAAATTTTACACCCATAGTATAGTATATTTTATTTGACTCAAATTAATGAATTGGAAATACATTAACCATGGTCAATAATCATACACAAAAAAACAAAAAAACAAAACACAATAACAAGAAATACAGATATAAAAAATAAAATAAAATGTTAAAACAGATAACACACAACTGTTAGGTATTACATTGTAAAATTATGTTAATAAACTTTCCTAGACTATTGGCAATGAAACTGTCTTTTATTCCCATAATATGCACAAACATATCTTCTTTCGGTAATTTTAAAATATTATCATTGTATAATGATAGAGTATTCCAAAAGTAGCTACGTGCCTTTACAATTTCATCCAGTTTGCAGTCATGCATTTCATCACCAACAGACTGATCAGAACACAGTGTGCAAAATCTTTGCTCTGAGGGTATTTTTTGGTATCTTAATTTTTCAATACCGGTAAATTTATGTGCTGAAATTCTAAATTTGGTTACATATGTTAGTATTGGTCTTATGACATGGTCAAAAATATTGATCCATGTGTTCACATTAATGTTAGTAGATGTGTTAATAGTTTTTTCTAATATAGAAGAATGTTTTAACAATTTTTTGTACAAATTTACCTTTGCTATATCAAACTTCCCACTTGGTTTAAATTCCAGGCCCAGATATTTGTAATTACTAACTATATTTATTGTATTTATTATTTAACAATCTGCCAGTTTTATTAAATATCATTATTTTTGTTTTTGCAGTGTATATATTTAATTTACTGAAACATTGTTGTAATTCCTCTTCAGTTTCTGATACTAAATCATCTGCATACTGTAAAGTTTATTACTTTTTTGCATGATTTATCTAGCATATGGAGTAAATCATTTCAAAAAAGATTAAATAAGGTGGGACTGACATTACATCCTGTCTTACACCCTTCAGTGACTTAAAATGTCTAGTAATATTATATGTAATTGTGTAATGCGTCTGTGATGCTGTACTCTGGTAACATTTCTGCAGTTGTCGTCTGGCATAGATAAAGTGGAAAGAGTTTTAAAGAGACAACTTGTGGTGGAAAACTCAAATATGTATTCAAACACCTGAACTACCAGGAAGATTTAACCATTTAAAAACAAATGAGTGCTACAATGTTGCGATATATTTCAGATAAGACATTGATTCACTCATTGAACTAAAATGCAATAAATATTTATAAATTATTCAAAATGTGCAAGTCTTGTTTTTATTGTTACAAGTTTGAAACAAGCATTAATACATAATTACATGGGCACTTGGTCCCCCAGACACAATTATTTCCAATTTCTATTGATGTCTGTATTATCCACTCGAGGTGGGGGTTTTATTGGACGCCATCCAACTCATTGTTGCCTAGTTATGTATGCAATTGAGATTTTAATCTCAAAGCTTTCTTTAATTTCATCTACAAGGGGTGTTAATTATTAGACTCGTGAACTATTAGGGCATATATGGAGTTTACTAATTATATATCTCAGTAACTTACAGGTATACTAATTATATATCTATCTTGTCACCTCTGTAACCCCCCCCCCCCCTATTCTAAGGATTGTATTCATTCAAAACCAAGACCAATGTT